GGTGTTTTTTTTGTGTGTCTTCCTTTCATTCTCTTGCCTGTTCTCATTTCTGCTAGGTCCCTTATATAGAATAGAGAAAAACTTAAAGTATTGATGACAACTATTTTCACACAAATTATTTTGAACACAAATGAAATGTGCTCAAGAAAAGGATTTTTGAGGTTTTTTTTCAGCTCTATGAAACTATACAGATCTAGAATATTATGAAGGCAAAGCGTTTTTTCAAGCTTGGGTTCGAGTCATAGTTTTAGTGTAATGAAATTATAGCAACAGATAACAACTGTCTTTAGATGTGTTATGTAGCAGTTATATTTATAAGCTGAACCTCTTGTGTCATGTGATAACATCATTTGGCTTATTTGAATACTGACCAATATTTATTTTCTTTTAAATAAATGTATTTTTAAAGCTTTCTTTTAAATATCTTTATTGATTTCAGAAAGGAAGTGGGGGGAGATAGAAACATCAATGATGACAGAGAATCACTGACCAACTGCCTCCTGCATGCACACACTAGGGATCGAGCCCACAACCTGGGCATTTGCCCTGACAGGGAATTGAACTGTGACCTCCTGGTTAATGGGTCGACACTCACCTACTGAAGCACACTGGCTGGGCTGATGTGCATGTTTACTTCCATTCCTCTGTAGTGCCTTCTGTTTCTTAAAATGTTAATCCAATTCGTGCCTTGATTATTTCTTCATTCTAAAATCCTTAGTGCATTTATTTTGCAGATATAGCCTTTGTCTTAGCCTCTGTAGTATATCCAACTTATAAGATTTAGCATGTTTTATTTCCAGTGCTAGATTTAAATTCCTTTAGATAAGTGGTTCTCAACCTTCCTAATGCCGCGACCCTTTAACCTTTAACCCTTTGCGGTCCAATTTTATTTTTGGAATTCAAACAGTCTGGTCCAAATTAATTGACGGGATTGAATGTTGAACCGGTTTGCGGTGTCGACCTCAGCCTCGGCGTTGGACCTGTTCCTAGCTCCTGGTCTGTCAAGTCAGCCTCCACGTTGGACCGAAAAGGGTTAATACAGATCCTTGCTAGTGAAGAACTTCAATTACAATACTACATAGTAGCATGATAATAAATCCATGGCAATGCTTTAAAAGAGTGGTTCCCAAACTTATTTGACCTACCGCCCCCTTTCCAGAAAAAATATTACTCAGCGCCCCCTGGAAATTAATTTTTTTTTAAATTTT